TGCATAAAAGTGTATCAGGCAACGGTGAACATGGTGGAAGGGTCCAAAGAATACGTAAGTCTTGGGCTTAACTTCTTAAGTTCCTGGGCAAGTTTTAAATTTTTTTCTTGGATCTATTTTTTTTTTTTTTCACACTCAAAATGGGGATTATAATGTCTTCACTTTCATGTCCTGTGAGAATACTTTTTGTTTGTTTGTTTTCAACATATGTGAAAGCTTCCAGCACAAAGATGTTGCTTTATCATAATTATTTTGAGGGAGGCCCTGATTGGCAGTGACAGCTCACTTCAGGGACACTGAAAATTCCTGGAAGCTACAGTGTAATGCATTAACCATTAATACCAGATGGGAAATGCTCATTGGCCCCACTCCCCATGAACTTCAACAAAAGGTATTCTTAGTTAGTTCCCTCCAAAGAAAAAATATGGGCAATAAAAACGTTCATGAAATCTCAGCTGAACCCTGTTAGAAGGCCGCAAACACATCTGGTAGAACACACTGTTTCTGGGTTTCTTGGGAGCCAATTATCCTCTTCGGAGGTCACCCTGTCCTCATTTCAGCACCTGTTAGAATTTCTGTGACAAGAAGTCTCAAGGTGAGGAAAACTGAAAGCCAAATCAAACACTCTCGGTGTCGTAAACAGCTTCGCTTAAAAGTTGATGAGAGAGGAGGTGGCTGAGTATTGGCTGAAGAGATTGTAAATGTCACTGCTGAATTATATTGCTTGCTGTTCACTCCATGCCGAGCTTACTTCCTTTTGTTCCTTGAAGAGTTCCTCTCTAAACGTAGTCAGTCATTCTCTCCAAAACTGCCATTGTCACAATTGTTGATTTTAATATTCACTCTAAGTAGACATCCCAATACTCAGCGCAGTCGGTTCCTTTCCTCCAATCCTCTTGCCTTCCAACCTACCTCCCTCTGCCAGTCACACCCACGGTTACAACTTGTATTAGTCTGCTGGGGCTGCCGTAACTAATACTACAGAGTCAGTGGCTTAAACGGCAGAAATTTATTTCTCACAGTAATGGAAGCTTTAAATCAGAGATCAAGATGTCATCAGGCCTGGTTTCTCTTGAGACATCTCTCCTTGGCTTGCACACGGCCACCTTCTTGCGGTGTCGTCCTATGGGTTTTTCTCTGTACACAGGCACCCCAGGTAGCTCTCTGTTCAAATTTCTGCTTATAAGGACACCAGTCAGGTTGGATTAGGTCCCACCTAACAGCCTCATTTAACTTAATCACCCCTTTAAAGCCCCCATGTTCAGATATGGTCGCATTCTAAGGTTATGAGAATTACGGTTTCAGCATATGAATTTTGAGGACATGATTCAGCTTATAACATACCTTTAGACTTTGTCTTCACCAATTCATAAAACATCTTAATCTCAAATTCTAGGATCTCACTTCTTAATCACTGAATTTTATCTTTCCAGTTTTTCTCTCTCTCTACCCAAAACCAGTAATCCCTCAACCACACTGTGATGCACAACCTACAAATCCAACCTATTTTTTGCTGTTCCTCACATTGTCTCATGTCCTTACTCAGATTAAGTCTCACAGTCTATCATTATAATCACTCTATTACATACAATCTTGATTCCTTCACCTCTCTCTGTCTTCATGGTACTTGCCTGGCAAAATCCCAATCCTGGTTGACTCCGGCTTTTCTTACTACTCTGCTCACACCTCTGCAGCTGAACCTCACTAGGAAGAACACTCAACCATGTTTCCCAGTCCCATTACAAATTCATGACCTCCAAGGGGCCTTCAGTGCCTGCTAGCAATCCTGCCACATTCTCTAGATCATTCACCATGCAACTTTCTTTGGCAACTGTTTCATAACTTCTCCTTTCTCTCCAAATCTCTAATGCCCCCTCCCTATCCTCTCTTTCTGCAGGTACAATTTCTGTTTCACTGAAAAAAGCAGAAGCAGTCTGAAGTTTCCACTACCTCCAGTCCCATATGCTCTGCCTTCCCTTCTGATACTAGGACTGAACTGCCCACACTCCTGCGTAACGCCAGCTCCCCCATTTGTGCACATGCTCCCACCTCTTCCCACTTACTCAAGGACACTCACTGTCCCAGCCATTCTCCTCTCTCCCCCTTGGATTGTCAATCCCCACCTCCCTGCCCCACCCACCAACGAAAACGTTCCCATCAGTATACAAACATGCTATAATTTTCCCCATCAAATTTTTTCCCTTGACTCCCACTTTCCCTCCAGCTACTGTCCCACTTCTCTATTTTTTATAGCAAAACTGTCCCTTTACAGCAACACTGTCCTCAAAAGTTATTTCTCTCTGCCTCCAATTCCTCTCTTCCCTTTCCTCCATGAGCCCACTCCAGTTGGGCTCTCATGTTTATTCCACCACTAAAGCTCCTCTGATTAAGGTCATTGGTGACCTTCACATTGCTAAATCCAGTAGCCAATCCTCAGTTCTCCCATATTACTTGCTCCACAGGCAGCTTTTGACTCGGCTGATCACACCCTCCTCAGCTAGAAACTCGACTTCCAGGATAAGCTCCTGGTTTTCCTTCCTACTCACTGGTCACTTCTCAGCCCCCTCATTTCCCCAAACTCAATTTATTGGCCTGCCTAGGATTTAGTCTTCAGACCTCTTTTCTATCTATACTCCTTCCCTTAGTGTTTCGTGGCTTTAAATACCATTTATATGCTGACAGCTCTCGTATTCTCCATCCCAGACCTGTTCCCCAAACTTCATATTTGTATCCAACTGCCTAACTGCATGGCCACTTGAATTTCTAATAAGTTATCTCAAAACTTGGGATGCCTGACACTAACCACCTCTCCCTCCCACTCCCAACCCTACTCAACTTGCTGCTTTGTTCATTTCAGTTAATGACAACTGCATTCTTCCAGCTGCTCAGGCCCCAAACGACATAGTCTCTTCATCTCCATTCAATCTGATCTGTCACCACATACTTGGCTCTATTCACTATCATCCAGGGTAAGGCTGGGTTGTTGGAATAGCTTCGGAACTCACCTCTTCCCTTCCCCACATGCCCTTTACAACCTACTCACAACACAGCCACCAGAGAGAGCCTTTTTTAACAGATCAAGTTCTTTTCCTCCTCAAAACTAAGTCCAGATATTACTATTCTTCCCCTCCTTCGCCCGGCCTCCTTGCCCCGGCTCCAGGCTCACTTCTCCCTCTGGCCACGGTGCTCCTGCTGGGCTCCCTGCAGGTGATGCTTTTCCCCAGGTTGCCGGTGGCTCACACCTCCACCGCCTTCAGGTCTTTGCTCAAATGTCACCTCAGTAAGGCCTTCCCTCACTACCCTGTTCGAAATGACACCCCCATCCCATTCTCTAGCACTCTTAGCTGTCCTTTCCCGACTTATTTGGGCCACACTTATCACCTGATAGGCTGGATGTTCTATTTGCCCACTTGCTTATGGTTAGTCTTCCCTCTAGCAGAATGTCAGCGCCCTGAGGGCCAGGATTTGGGACTGTCATGTTCAGTGATCTCTCCTCAGCTCCCAGAACAGTGCCTGGCACAGAGGCGCTCAATAAATACTGAACCACAGTGTTGCTGCTCTCCCCACTGTCCCAAGGGTGCTAGGAAATATGATCTTAGGCAGACTGTATGTCCCTGGGGAAAAATTTAATGACGAGGCTTTATTGATGCACTTTGCTCAGAAACACTAGAGGAAAAAGAGTCACATCCGGGGCAGGGGGGGCAAGAAGCCTCTTGGAGCCATCGCAGTGTAAGACTGCTGGTTTCTAGGTTTGTTTCATTTGAATCCAAAAGTAGCTCCAAGTATCTCAATTTTTTAAAAAAAGTATTAGTGTAATACAATTTAAAATTATTCACATAAAAATAAGTTTTTCTCTTGAATTTAAAGTATATGTGTTCCATAGTATTAATATTTTCTAGAGGACAATAACAAATTAAATATAAGTATTTCTGGGCTCAAGATTTTAAGAGTTCATGATACAGAACTCTGGGTCTGAAAGGAGGTCATGAGAAGGCTACTTCTGATCTCTGTATTGTTTATATTCCTATAACTGCTCTTTTTATTTTTAATAATGGCTCCCATTTCTTTCCTACCTTTTCTACATCACCTGACACTATATAATAACCTCATTTAATTGCTTACATAATCTCACTTAATTCTCACATTACCCTTGTGTGGGAGGTACCCTATGTTCTTCCTATTCTACAGCCGAGGCAGTTGAGACTTAAAGTTAAGTCGAGCAGGGTTCTGAGGTTCTGAGGTTACCTGCAACTTTGGCAATGAGGTCAGGCAGTCCTGGAATTCTTCCCACCACTGCCTCCATCACCTCCAATGTGTTAGCGCTGAGTCCTTCCCTCCGCCCCCTCCTCATGTCATCATCACCACAGGGGACCTGTGGCTCTTTAAATGTAAGGCAATAGTTTGTAAGGAAGAACTCTTAAATCCTTGTTTCAAAGTTATTACTCATGAAATCTTAATCAGATTACCCAACTTGCTTCACTCCCTTTTCCTAAGCAGTAAGAAGGTCATGAATTTATCCCTGTTGTTAATTTTCAGAGAGGCAGAGAAAACAGACATGAGCTCTGGTGTTGCGACAATGACCCCAGCAACTGTGACGTCTTATTTTCCTCAACAGCCAGCCCTCCTGGCCCTTTGTGTTTTTTTGTGCCCCTTGCAGTTTAAACAATGCTTGCTGAAGAGGGAGCCCACAAATAAGAACACTGCGTTAAAAGCAGGTATGCAAAGATGGTATTCGAGCCAACATACCACAGGCCTGCCGAGCTCTAGTCCCGGTAGTTTTCTCTTTAACTCCCTTCCACTGTGAGATGAATTTGCCAGACTCAGTGCCAACGCCAGCCCAGACTTCCTTCTTATCACTGCTCGGTTGAGTCTGTGGTGCTCTAACCCAGAGGAAAACAACTTGTTTTAAAAGCAGTGAAAACACCGCATTCCTCTGGCACAGGATGAAGACCAGCTCAGCTCCTCAGTCGTAGATCATTGTCTATTGTTCTGCAAACTGTAAAGCACGACTGTGGCTGCAGTCCTGCCTGCGTCCTGGGCTCCTCACGAATACTAACTAAAGGGCGCTGCCCCAGAAAGTGGTAGGTAATTTTAAAAAAGAAAGAAAGAAAAGACAGGTAGGATAAAAAACAGGCTTTATGTAATTTTACACTCTTGCAATCTCCTGCAGGCTCTGAACAGGGTAGAATGGGGTCTCGGAAGTGTGGAGGCTGCCTCAGTGGTCTGCTGATTCTGCTTGCACTTTGGAGTATAATTGTGAATATACTATTGTATTTCCCAAACGGGCAAACTTCCTATGCATCCAGCAGTAAGCTCACCAACTACGTGTGGTATTTTGAAGGAATCTGTTTCTCAGGTATCATGGTAAGTGGGACCTGGGAGACTTGGGATCACAAAAGGAAGAGTTTTTACTAAGAATTGCTTTGTTCCTACTAAAAGTAATCGGTAATGCAAAATTGTTCTACTAATCCTGGGTCTGGGATTTGGAAGATGGGTGGGGGTAGAGAGGCAAGTAGTCCCTTAGGATTTGGAGAGTGGCTTTGTTTTTTGGTAAACTGCTCGTTTATGTAGCTTCGGCAGTGCAGGAAGTTAATCCTAATAAAAGCTTGTGAGACTCTGGCCTGTAGAAACACTGTGTCCTCGTGAACTCTATGTGTCAGTTAGGGTTATTGAATCCCCAGTGGCACTGCTCTTTTCCAGAACAGATTTTCTGCCTGCACTCCCTATTTCTCTAGCTTGATACTCAGACGGCGTGGAAAAGACAGAGACTTGGACGTGCAGACAAATTTGCACTCAGATCTCTGTCATTTGTGCCACGAGATCTTGAGCAAGTTACTCAGTGTCTTGTCTTCAATTGGAAATGGGATTATGGCATTTACTTTTCAGGTTGATGTGGGGATGAAAAAAAATCTAACATATGGCGTGTCCAGTACAGAGACTGACTTGTAGTAGGTACCCAGTGACTATTGTGATTATAAATACTTATTGAAGAATAGGCCATTTCATTGGTAAATAGCGGGACATTATACCCTTAATAATGGAAGGTATTTTTGAAAACTAAATCAAATTGTGCACAGTAAGAATCCATGAGTGTTTTCCTGATGACTTTTCTTTTTTAAAAATAAATCATGTTGGCAACTCAGAGGAAAAGACACTTTTCCTGTCATATCATTGTTAGAAACAACACATTGTACACTGTAAGCTTACTATATCACCAATCACCAGAAGCAAATCCATTATAATCTATTTCTACCTCTCTGGGGGTTTAATTTGTATAATACTTGAATAATTATGTTGGAAAATAGTTTTCACTTTGTTACTGTTTTGCATATTAAATTAGTAAACTTTAAAATACTAATACCCAATGCTATTGAAGCTGCTATATGATGGGTACATAGCAAATGGTGTAGTGTTTCCATAAATAAATGCAAACTTTTGTGAAGATTTTGAAATGGTATATTAAGATCCATGAGAATGCTCTGTCTTCCAAGTCAGTAATCCTAAATCTGAGAATTCATTATAAGGAAATAATCCAAAATAAGAAAAGAGATTATACACAGATGTTTGTGGCAGCATTATTTATAATAAGAAATAACTAGCAGCATCCTGGCATAGAAGCAGCCAAATAAACTGTGATACATTCACTTTTTTTTTTTTATTGATTTCAGAGAGAGGAGGGAGAGGGAGAGATAGAAACATCAATGATGAGAATTATTGATCATCGGCCTCCTGCACACCCCCTACTGGGGAATCGAGTCTGCAAGCCGAGCATGTGCCCTGACCGGGAATCGAACCGTGATCTACTGGTTCATGGGTCAAGGCTCAACCACTGAGCTATGCTGGCCAAGCACATTCACTTTTTATGGTGGTGAAAACTGTAATGATGAAGATCTAACAACATGGAAAATGAACATTCTGTAAGTGAAAAAAATATATAACAAAATCGTGAATAAATTATGATTGCAACTATGTAAAGTATACACAAGTGGGAAAACACTGGTGATACATGAAAAACAAGAGAAGGTGGTGGAATTATGGGTAATTTTCCTCCCTTATTCTTGAGCCTCTGTATTGCATTTATATTTTACAACCAAAAAAGGAAGCAGTTTCTCTTTCAACACAGGCTCTGCCTGTGTTTCTCTTTTGCGCAGGACTCCAGGGCCTAGGTCTAGCCACTTCTGCCAATATTATAAATGAATTTGGTTACTGTATCTGGTTTACTGTGCCTTATCTCATTTCCTTCCATACATAATTGTAGTACATGGAAGAGTTGCAAGCATGATTGTGTTAAAACCTATTAAAATCCGTGATAACTAATGTGTTGAAAGGAGGGAATATAGGACTCTTTTGCTTATATTCATATAAAATTTAAAACTGGGAAAAGGACCTGTTCTCTATTTTTAATTGTCTAAGATTTTTTAAAAAAAATATTATTGCTACTGCATCAAATGCTTTTAAGAGAAAGGAGAGGAATATAGATAAATAATTAAGTTGATTGATAAATAAGTAAAGACTGAAGGAATTTGGAAACTGGAAATGTTGACTACGAGCAGTAAAATAACAATGAACTTAGCTTCAAAATCCAGTACTGAACAGTGAGAAAAAAGGATAGGTGGAGAATTTGCCAGAAGCAATACATGTTCCATACCTGCCCCAATCACAAACTATAAATATCAAGAGAGTCATGTCTTTCCAGAACAAATATACAATCCTTTACCTAAGATACCAAAAAAGGGGAAAGTAGAATATATTGAATTCTCCCAGTTTGTTGGCTTACTACAGACAAAACACTCTGGAAAATTTGTATCTGAGGTGGCTTGAATATGTGGGGGAACTGACTTACTTTACTTTTGAATCAAGAGCTGCTATTTCAGATTTACCGTGCCTCTCACCCCTGATCCCAGACAACAGTAAATGGAGAGAGGCTGGCAAACTGCAAAGTCTATGAATGGCTTTCCTTTGTCTTTGACACCTGGGTCTGTGAGAAATGCAGGTTTGCTGCTAGGTGGTATCCCAATGTCCATACCACTTCTCTTTAATTGTTAGCTTTTGATGACTGATCAACCATGATAATAATAACTAACATTTATCAATCACTTACTATGAATCAAGCACTATGTTCAAAATTTCACATACACTACTCATAATACCCTAACAACACCGTTTTAGAAGACATACTTGCGAGTTTACAGTCAGAAAGTGGCAGAGCTAGGATTCGAACCCAGGTCGACTTGACCCAGAATCTATGCTCTGTGCTCTGGTTATGAGCATGAATGTTAACTAGTGTCCCCTTCGATATTTTTTTCTCTTCCCTGCTGTAGATGCTTATAGTCGCAGCAGCCTTTCTTGTCCTGGACAGTGACAACAACTACAAATGTTGCCAGAGTGAAAACTGCAGCAAAAAATACATGGTAAGAGCAATAGTTTTTTGAAGATAGTTGAGTGGGCTTTGACTTTCTTTCCTCTTACTCAGAAACACAAAAATATTAACATGATGCTACCCTCACTGTGATCCGTTTAGTACACAGCCCAAGAATTTACTCCAAAAATAATCTCTTTTTTTTATACACTCTTTTCTTCACCTTTGTTCTGCTGATATTCTTTAGGAAATTCAGAATTTAAAGATAAATGAGATTATAAAATAATTCTATCTTTTTCTAACTGGGTTTCTGTAAAGTCTTTTTTTTCTTCTTTAGTGAGGACTGACTTACATATAATAAATGGGATCCATTAAAAGAGTATAATTGCATGACTTTTGACAGTGAATCCGCCCATGAAAGCACCATCACAATCAAGATATAGAACATTTCCATCATCCCAAGAGACTAGTCCTTGGTCTGCTTTTTGTCATTATGGATGCTTTATACTTTGCATCAACAGAACCAGGCAGTATTTGGCTTTTGTATCTGGCTTCTTTCATTCAGCATAATGATTTGGGATTCATCCGTGTTGTTGGGCATAGGCAATGTACATTTCTAAGTTGGAACTTTAAAAATAATTAAAATAGAATCAAGAGAGTATAATATGCCCAAATTTTCTAAGCCTGTGCCGTACAGGCATGAGTTGGGCTGCTACGTTTCTGCCAGGATTCTTGTCTTCATCATCATCGGCATTGCTCACTCATATTTGCATAGCATGTTATAGTTCTTTTACATTTAGCCAGTGAATTAGATCATTCTTGCTCCTATTTTATAGATGAATCACTTGTGGTTTATTAACTAGGAGGAGCTTTCCCAGAGGTCTGGTAGGCTTTCTTTGCAGCAGTGGCTCCACACCATGGCTGTACATTGCAGTCATCTAGGAGTTTGGAGTTGAAATTCCACCCCCAGAGTCCCTGACTTAGCTCGTCTGAGGTTCAACCAGATTTTAATGTGCAGCCAAAATGCTTCTTTAACCAATGTCTTTGGAAGGTTAAAATAGTTTCATAATTTAACACTGTGCCCTCGGTGAAGAATTGAAGTTTAAATATACTTGTGTGTGTGTGTGTGTGTGTGTGTGTGTGTGTGTGTGTGCGCATANCCAAATTTTCTAAGCCTGTGCTGTACAAGCATGAGTTGGGCTGCTACGTTTCTGCCAGGATTCTTGTCTTCATCATCATCGGCATTGCTCACTCATATTTGCATAGCATTTTATAGTTCTTTTACATTTAGCCAGTGAATTAGATCATTCTTGCTCCTATTTTATAGACGAATCACTTGTGGTTTATTAACTAAGAGGAGCTTTCCCAGAGGTCTGGTAGGCTTTCTTTGCAGCAGTGGCTCCACACCATGGCTGTACATTGCAGTCATCTAGGAGTTTGGAGTTGAAATTCCACCCCCAGAGTCCCTGACTTAGCTCGTCTGAGGTTCAACCAGATTTTAATGTGCAGCCAAAATGTTTCTTTAACCAATGCCTTTGGAAGGTTAAAATAGTTTCATAATTTAGCACTGTGCCCTTGGTGAAGAATTGAAAAGTTTAAATATACTTGTGTGTGTGTGTGTGCATGCATGTGTTTTCTTAACCAGTTGACTAAGTATCCCCCAGTAGCTGCTGGTATTATATTTATGGAAAAGCCTAGTGAGGCAATGGATTTAGGTAAATTTAAGCTATGAAACTCAAGAAATTTCTAGAAAACAAATGTATGTGGCAATAAAAATCAATGTGTTCAATTTGCCTAAACTCAGTGTTAGCATCTCCAACACAAATGGATGCTAGAAATAAGCTAGAGTCTGAACAAGGCCTTATAATCAACACTGCATGAGATGACTGCCATCTGGATGGGAAGAGCATGAGGAAGGGGAGAGGATTCCCTGCTTAGCCCTTTCAAGGTAGGCTCTAGAATAGAAGTCCCAACTCATATGTCCTCAGGAGCCAAATATCTGATGGAAATGAAAGAAGTGAGCCTGTAGGCATTAGAGCAAACTTTCCATTTAGAGCTACTCTAGTCCAGCCAATTCTTACCAAGACAAAATTGGGCAATAATTCTCTTTTCAATAAAAAGCAGAAGTATGACTTTTGATCTAAATCCTCTCAACTATAAAATGTTGGCAATTGCTTCTCATTTAAATTAAATAAGGCATACCTTACAGGACAAATTTGAGTCTGTACCAGTTTGTAAGTTCTGAAGATCCAGAATGGAAATTGAAGTCACCCGAGGTTCACTTTTTAGGGGAGCAAGTTGTCCTTGGCTTTCTTAAGGGTCCCTGGCTGGGTCTGAAAACTTAAACTGATGGAAGACAGATTAACAGAAGAAAAGCATACACATTTTATTAAATTTTTACATGAACATGGCAGTTTTTACAGGAGAGTAAAGACCTGAAGAAGTAGCCAGAGCACCAGGTTTTTATATGTTATAGATAAAGAAACAAATATGTGAAGAATTGGCAAGACAGAAGGGCTTGGGTTAGTAAATGGATAAGAGGTAACTGGGAAGACAAAGGTTAGTTTAACAAGGCTTGTTTGTATAGATTTCTCAGCCCCAATTCCTTGTCTCCGGTGATATGAATGTCTTGCTTCCTCTGGCACCGGGAGGGCACCTTTCACATGGGAGCTCTATGCCCTGTTTCAGGGAAGAAAGGCCAGGGGTGGGGAGCTTGGTCAGAGTGACCATCCTGCTTCTGCCACTTTCTTACACTCCTTTAGCTTAAAACATTCAATTTTCCAAGATGCCTTATTTAGGGGGTAGCATTTCCTGAACCCAGTCTGAAACTTCCCCCAAGAAGTCTCACAGTCCACAAACTGAGTTAGTAGATTGTCCCATAGCCCATGAGAGCAGCATCTCAGTCCAGGGCATTTCTATGGAAAAGCAAAGGTTAATGGTTAGAACAAACTATAAACTCTGTTTTTAGGTCTAGAGGGCTGTCNAGCAAAGGTTAATGGTTAGAACAAACTATAAACTCTGTTTTTAGGTCTAGTGGGCTGTCAGTTAAAAAGATTTCTAGATGTTGGGCTCCAAGCATCTTCAGATAGAATAAGGGCAGGCAGTGGTCATCTGACAGATTTTCCTAGCTCATNATGGAAAAGCAAAGGTTAATGGTTAGAACAAACTATAAACTCTGTTTTTAGGTCTAGAGGGCTGTCAGTTAAATGTCCTTGGGGGTGTTATTAGATGTTCTGGAAAACTTACTGAGTTGCTCACACAGCAACAGGCATGAAGATTGTCTAAACATGAGCTATTGTGGTACATTCTCTGAAGTTTATATCAAGGTGTCCTACTTGAGATTGCAGGGCTTTGGGAAAGGGCAGTTTTAGTTCTCAGTGATTCCAGAGGGTGGGAGAAAATTGGGAACATTAATTATATGTCTGCATTGTATTTAATGCTGACAACTCTGAAGTTATGTCTGTTTTTTTCCCCTTAAAGATCTTAAAACCAGCTTTGTTTACCAAGGTTATTCCAAACCACATGAACTTAAAAAACAAACCTTTGGGTAGTTTCTATATTTCTGAGAATTTTAGGAATACTTCATTTAACTGTATGCTCAGTTATTTTCAAACCAGTTTGAATAGAACTCCTCTGAAAGATTTTATAAGCTAATTTGATAGTACCATACAAAGGCAGTTTTATGTTACATCCATAAAATATCATTAAAAAGATAAACTGAGATGTTAAAAATATTTTAAGGGTTTATTTGAACAAAAATCTGTTTGAATCAGGCCTTGCCAAACAGGAAGTAGTCAGGTACACTCAACAGACAGGAGTTCAGGGGAAAACCTTTATAGAGGAAAGGCAGAAGCAAATAAGGTCATTATTGATTGGCTATAGCATAAAATCTAGTTGGTGGTTTGTGATTGGTTGTTCCTAGGTTTTAATTTCACAACCTTGAGGCATTTGCAGGCTTAGATTTGATTTGCTTGCATAGGCGCTATGGTATTGGAGCCCACTAGCCTAATGGCCTTCCATTTAATTAACGTAATAACATATATATCAACATAAACATATGGACAGACACACAGATCTTACAGCTTTTGTTAAATTTTAGTCATGTCAAGTACATTAATACAAAACTCACTAGTTTGTAAAAGAACAGAGGGACCAAGTTGAGGTTATCTGCTCAGATGGCTAAAGTATTTTACTAATATACTTGATGAGGTCTGAAAATGTGTATTTGTCCTTGTCAAGCAGTCTTACAGAGGCTGTGGTCTAGATTTGGGGCAAGAGAGCTTTCATAGCAGTTTAGGGGTTTTTAAGCCTCTTTTTCCCTTTCTCCCCTTCACTCTCAGGTGTTTTTAGGTAGTATCTTAGCTATCTCTTGGGATGTTTACATTTCAAAGACATGGTAAGAATTTTCTCCTTTCTCTTAAGTGCAGAACAGTCCTGTTTCCCATGTCCTGGTCTTTTAGATCTGCCAGCATCTGGAGATGAATAGGGGACACTTGGGGATCAGTAAGGGTAGGTGGACTTTGAATTGCTATTAGAGCCACATTTCTGGTTTTGTAAAGACGAGGCTTGTAGGACAAGGCCAGTTTTATATGTTTGTTTGTTTTTTCCTCAAAGTACTGGTTTGCAGCCTGAATGATATAAAGGGCTGACCCACCCATCCAACTACATTATCTTCAATTTGCTTCTTATATCAGGGAGAAGATTTCCAACTCAGATAGAAAGAAAGCATTTCTGTGTTCTGGATTTAGAGCTGTGTGTCTCTGGCATGCTTTAGTAAGTCATCCCACAAAGCCTTCAGCATGTGTTGCTCTCCCTCTGAGCACATAGCTTCATTCTAGCTTAGGAGGGAAGGCCCTAAAACAAAGTTCTATCAGGCTCTCAATATCAACCTCAAATTTGGCCAACTTCTGGCCATAGAGCTCTTTAAAAAAAAAATTGTTTCGAATATGTATATCAAAGGCTTACCTATCAAGTAACTTAAAACCAAAACCAATACTTAGCCATGAATTCAAGAGGGACCCTTAAAGAAGGTAAAAAAAAGATGCAGCCCTC